TATTTTAACTAACTCCTCCTACAGATTTTATGGGATCTACTTCAAAATTGGTCAGTACAGTCAAAAAATGTTGCTGAATGAACGCTGTTCTTTTTGTGACTGTACGTTGAAGGGCGTGTCCATGGCGTGCCGTCCAATTCGGTCATTTTGAATTCCGTGGTCTTGTATTTGAACAAACACACTCCTAGGGAATTTATAAGATCTGCTTCAAAATTAGTCAGTACAGTCAACATATGTTGCTGATTAAGAGTTGTGCGATTTGTGACTGTACGTTGAAGGGCGTGTCTGTGGCGTGGCGTGCCGCCAAAGTTGGCCATTTTGAATTCTGTGGTCATTTTCGGTGAATTTTTGCCTTGTATTTGAACAAACACCTCATAGGGAACTTATCAGATCTGTTTCAAAATTGTCAGTACAGTCCAAAAATGTTGTTCATTAAAATTTGTGCAATTTGTGACTGTATGTTGTCATACTTGAAATCATAATTGAAGAACTCATCCCTGTTTTTAAAAACAGAATTGTATGCTGTAAGGGCAGTAATACTTAAAGGTCCAGTGTGTAACATTTAGGAGGATCTACTGGCAGAAATTGAATATAACATTCATGTTTTCATTAGTGTATAATCATGTGAATATAGGAATTGTGTTTCTGTTTTCTTAGATAGAGCTGTTTCTATCTACAGAGGGAGCAGGTCCATAATGTTAAACCTCCATGTTTCTGCAGTGGCCCAGAATGTACAAACCAATTAATGACTCTAGATTGTGCCCTTTTTTATGCCTTCAAAGTTTCTGTACATGGCACTCTTCTCTCTGTTCAGCGTTAGTGGCATTGACTGCTCATACTACTACTACCCAGTTCTTTCCCTTAATCCATATATCCATCCATTATTCATACCACTTGGGTTGTGTTTCAGCTCTCAGGCTGGGTACACATTGGACAGGTCACCTTTCTCCAGTCATACATAAACACCAATGTGAAATTTAGTTCACCTGACCTGCACGGTTGGGACTGTGGAACACCCATGCAGGCACATGGAGAACATGCAAACTCCACACAAAAAGGCCAGCTGTTCTCCTGTTAAATAGAAAAAAACCCTGATAGGTGAAAGTCCTATTTTCATGTTTGTCAGAGGATTATTCCTGGCATAAACGCTGCCAGACAGCAAGCTTTTAGAACAGCAAATGTAAAAGCTTTCATCAACTGGATAAACAGCATGTTGCATTACTATTGTGTTGCAACCGAAATAGTCTTTATAGATAGTTACTTCAGTCAAACATTCTACAGCTTGAGAAAAATTACTTGATTATGAGGATGGAGCTATCCTAAGAGCAGTTTACCTCATACAACACTCTTGTCCAAGGCTGTCTCTTAGCTGGTCTCTACAGGGTATAGTCTGCCTTGTAATAGATCTACTCCACCCAGGCGCCTTCCCACTTTAAACTAACCACCCCACAATCACCATCTCCCTTTCTTTGCAACCCTTTATTCCTCCTCCTCCTCCTCATCATCATCATCAGTCTGCATCTACCCACCAGCACTTCAGAGCTGCCAACCTTAGCCTTGCGCTGTTTCTTGTTTCTGTGTTGGTGAAGGACTTCTCAACACTGATGCTAAAGGTGTCTGATTAAATCTCAAGTGATGCTCAGTTCATTGCTGCTTTGCTCACACTCTGCCTGTCTGAGAATGGAAAAATTGAGGTTGGGTAGACGTACTGAAAAATGTATAAAGTGTATGAGGACGTGTTGAAAGAATATCTTCAGCTCCGCGTTTAGCTCCCACCGAATGAGTCAGTGGATCTTCTTGTGCAGAACATCGCTCACTCGTTCCTATCGTGCAATTGGACATTTCAAAGAACACAACTATAAAGAATGAACACATGAAACAAATGATATTTTTCATCTATTCTTTCCTTATATACTTTCGTTGACTGACTTTTCTCCGAAGGTGTAAACTCGCTCCAATTCAACTACATCATCTTTAATGGAGTGTTAATCAAAGAAACTGTCAAGGATAGACAAATACCATTAGTTGTTTCAGATGGTTTTTGTGCAGAAGAACTGTACCTCATTTTGCCTTTTGTTTACAGTGAACAATAGCTGACATTTTTTTCCTGCTGATAAAAAATGTTCCATGCCCCTGAGACCATGGCAGACCATTCATAATGCAGCGTAAAATGTCAAGACTGCAAATGCAAATGATCAACACCATTTTTATGCTACTTGTTATTTCCTATTCGTACAACTATATATAGCAGTTCAAATAAGGGCTGTGTATGTGCAATAATCAGGCGATACAATATGTATTGCGACACAGGGGTTATGATTCAATATATTGCTATACTGTAAGCAAGGTGATATATGTTGTGATTTTGTGATTTATATTTTTGGATTTTGTGTTATCACAGGCTTTCATTACAGACATACTTTGCGCAGCACTTAGTTTACAACACGGCTATCTAGTGGTTGGGGGTTTAAACATAAAAATCAATACAGTGTTTGGAGAATCAATATTGTGATACACAAGTGTATCAATATTTTCTTACATCCCTTCCCATATGTCTATATCAGGGGTAGGCAACCTGCAGCTCTTTAGCCTTTCTCCAGTGGTTCCCTGTGGCTCTGACAAAGAATTACATGGAAATTATTTACTGGTATTTTAATAACATTTTCATTTACAATTGTTGTAAGTGATTCTTACATTCTCAAGTTGTGAAAATGTATAGCCATTACACCAAATTAAAAAACTAATTAACATTCAGTCACCTAAAATTTACGTCATATGTTGCTTCCTGACCTGCACCCTTTCCTTTAAATTTTAATGGTGGCTACAAGTCTTTGTGGAGAGATTTGTTTGCTTTCACCTCAAAAGCTGCTGGCTTACTGGTTACTTGATCCATGGAGAGAAATCAGCATTATAAGGCTCAACTATGTTTTGCAGATTTTTTTTTTCTTTTGTGGCAAAAACTTTCTCTTTTAATAGTAATGGCAGTAGACCTTGGTTTTAATCTCCAAGTGTCTACTAACTCTTTACTGTCCCATAACCAGCCATGCTAGCAGCTCTGTGAGGCTGCACCCAGACACAGTGATACTTTGAGTTATAATGCTAACCTCAGCATGCTAATATGCTCACAATGACAATGATATCGTGCTAAGCTGGTAAAATGTGTATCATGTTCACTAGCTTGATTTAGTGCCATCCAGCGGTGTAGTTTCAGATTGTACCTCCCTCTCTTCACCCTCCCCTTCCAATCGCAAAGAGAAACTATGGTAGCTGTGAAATGTGAGGAAAAAGGCAACCAGCTCTCTGTGTTGGGTTTGTCTGTTGTGGGCTAGTGTACAAACATGGTGGTTCAACATGGCAGACTCCATGGAAAACATACAGATTCTGATATTCAGGTGATTATACACTAATCTCAACTTAATGGTGGTGTTAGATGAAAAGTCAGGAGACATTTTAGTCCTGACCAAGTGATTTTATATTTCATCCACAGGAGAACAACTGGGTAGTTAGCACTGGCAGTGATAGACAATATTGCTGAACATAAAAGATTAAGATTGCCAACTAAATAAACCCAAAACCTATCAACAAGAACTCCAAAGAAAAAGACTGGATACTGCTTGACTGACAGCTGATCTCTGTAAAGTGCAGGAAAACACAGCAATTGTTTAAAATGGAGGCATAATTATAAACCAACCAAGTTAGACAGGTAGGTCACCTGACAGTTGTTTCATAATAGATATTAATATTTCATAAATTTTCTCTAAGTGCTACTGTATGTCTGGGACTAAACACAAGAAACAAATACTGTATCTGGATGTTGGATGCTGATGGGTGGAGACAACAGGACTCACAGCAGACAGCAGGTTCCCAGCAATGCTCACTGCATCTGGCCCTTTTTAGCAACATCAGTCTGCAGCAAACACATGCCAATGTTCCAGCTGCAGCCGGCTGCAATCAGTACAATCAGTGTAGAGGAAGAGGAGTGCAAACAAAATGATTTGTTTTAAATACATAAATAGGTTTGGACAATATGGACTTTGGACTTTACATTTACAACTTTTTAACAGGCTACATTTTAAAAGAAGATGGTGGAGCAGAATGGTGGCTTGGCAGGAGCTGCAGACATGCACACCACATTTTCAACCTTCCTTTTGTTAATTTAGCAACGAAAACCCATGATCTCATCTGTACCATCAAGGCCAAACAGGGCTGACATTCATGAACTTTGTCTTTGGGATTTGTGCTATTAATCACGTTAGCCTAATGCTATTGTTTTCCTCGGCCCGCTGCTGATAGACAGCTTAACAGATGAACCCACTATAGCAAATTCTTCAAGAGCACAAATCTCTTCACTGGGTTGGACCACAATGGGACACTTATTGCAAGGAACTTATTATTAAGAGATAAGGGTAATGAAACTATTGAATGTGGATTGTGTAATTCCAAAATTCTTATCTCCTGATTATTCAATTATCTTATCGTTACATAATACAGATCTTGTAATTATGAGAACTCATAGTTATGAAAAGTATTGAATAATTATGCACACAAATGTAGCAATCAGCAATAATTAGGCATAGGGATGTCATCATTACAATGGACCTTGTAATTATGAGATTGTTTTCTAGTAATTATGAGATACAGATGGACTAATTATGAGCTGGTAAATCCTAATTAAAAGGTACAGAAGTCAGAATAAATAATGAAATAATTACTTCTCGATTGATTGTTTCTTTGGTGAATGCAATGTGCAACTGTATATTTCCTTACCCCATTGCTCTCATGTCGCACACCCTAACTGCTGCAATTAAATTACTGCTGTAATGACTCCGTTTCCCCACAGGGATCAATAAAGTTTCACCTTGCCTTGTGGGATCTAATTGGCGCCGTTGTTACCTGGCATGTTTTACATACGCAAACACACTTGTTAAGCAGGCTTTGATGTCGCTCGTTTGAACGCTGCGGAGTGACATCGTGTTATGTTTGTCTCTGGCCCCCTGCAGGTTCATGTGGGCACCTCCCATCAGGAGCAAAGGGTTGTGGGATATCTCACGTGTACGCACCTCCACGCCATAGAAGGTATGGTTTCATCTTCTACAGCTGTCCAAACTCTCTCTGTCTGTCACTTTCTCTTTCTGTCTCTCTCACACACTCAGACACACACACACACACACACACACACACACACACATGCATGAATGTATTAATATGATTTGTTTGACATTTTCTTTCACTTTTCAAGGCTGTTTTGTACAAAGAGTGGAGAACATCTTCCCTCTGTGTGTCTTTGTGATTGTCGCTCTTGAACAACCAGACAGCTATAACCATCCAGCTCCACACACAGCCCTGTGTGTGTGTGTGTGTGTGTGTGTGTGTGTGTGTGTGTGTGTGTGTGTGTGTGTGTGTGTGTGTGTGTGTGTGTGTGTGTGTGCTTGTATGTCCAGATAGCTAGATAAATGGGCGCATCAAAAACCCTGCGTGCCTCCTCCTGCTGTTCCCATGGAGACTGGCTCAAGCTGTTTAAGGCGTCACAGCCCTATTTAAAGCCTCCGGTCGATGCCTCCCTCATTTTTTACCAAAGACACGTCCCCCCCTACCGTCGCTTCGCCTGCTATTCTGGGATCCTCCTACGCTTCTCACAGGCCTATATATAGCAGTGCCAGGGCTGTTTCTAAAGATACATCAAACATAAAGCCTTTGAGGGGGGAGGGGAGTTGGATGCGGGGGTATGACTGAGAGAGAACCGGGAGGGATAAAGGGGGAGGAGCACAGAGACCTGATTCTTCTCTGAGAGGACGGAGTTACATATGAGTACCCTTTTTCCTTCTTGAGTGCAAGAAGATGCAGTGTGATTGACTAAATATACAGAACCTAATCCTACACTGTCAGTGATAGCCCCCAGTCTGACATTACTCTCATTTGTCTCTGTAGTTTTGATGCGCAAATGTAGTGTGTCAGGCATTCCTCAATTTGTGTTCATCTCCTGCCATTACAGCTTTGTGTGCTGGTAGTAGCAGCAGTTGTAGCAGCAGCAGCAGTAAGGACGTGTGTTTCAGTGACACTTTTTACATACAGTTTTATATTTGTTCATTAAATTATTCATAACATATCTTATCAAGTCCCCTTCTACTGAAAAGTCACTTTTTCTTCTTGTTCCTACAGTGTGCTGTTTGAATGCTGTCTGTGCAGAGTTTAACACTAGAAGGATGTTTTCACATTCATCTGCTGAAAGTGGAAAGTTTCTCTGTGCTCATTGAACATCTGATTTTAAGGGGCGGGGCCTACCAGCATGATTTGTGACATCACAAATAGTATTAACTTGAGAATGGACTTTACAGTGAAGTAGGAGACATCTTGTGTCCAGCATGAAAACATTAGAAATGAACAACATTTGTATATTCAGAGATTCTGGAACTTTTAATGAGGTAGAAGGCGGAAAAGGATTTTAATGTGGAAATTATACTTTTTGCAGAAAAAAACATATAAGACACATATTACTGTTCCTAATTGTAAATTCACCCCTTTAACTGAAATACAAGGTTCTCTTTTGAAATATATGTATTTTTTACTGTATTCCCCCAATACTTCCACACAGTAAGTAATGTGTATGGAGGTATAGGTTTGTAATGAAGTTTGATTCAAGAAAATCAAAAGTGTCCCATTGATGGTGTCTGGGCAGTGTTTCACAGGCTTTTCAACCTAAAACAACATGGCATTTCGATAGAAATACTAGCTGTGTCCCATTTTTCTGCCTTCTGCCTTCCAAAAATGCAGACTATGAGGCTGTGCTCTTCAGAGGCCTGATAATCAGACCACATTGCTGTTTCATCTCACTTTGTTGTTCAGCGTGCCATCTGATCATGTTGCTTATTTTGTTTTGTCTGGGCCTGACATATCTGTCCCACTGACGCCATATGTAATCACCATGGACGCTACAGTAGCGGTTGCTCTGAGCACTTACCTGAATGTTTGTTAACATTTAGTAAAATGGTGAATACTACTAAATACATCACAAGATGTGGACCAATGAACATGTCAGCAGTTTGTTTCCCATCAGTACAGTACATGTAACCCAATATAATCTTTAACACACATTAAGAAAGGAAATTATATGACTATATCCACTACCACTAACTTGAAACACTGTTGTCCCTCGTGTTTCAAGTGAAACAATTCATGTGAACTCTGCCAAATTCCCCACTGGTGTTTACCACTTTGTTGGCTATTCAAGGATGACTTCTTGGTTTTAAACTTGGAAATTCCCTGAATGTATGAACTGACAAAGGCTGCCTTTGTGCCACATTTAACAAGCTCAATCGAGAGCAACGGACACACAACTAGCATCTTCCATTGCTCATCTTGGTTTAAAGGAGCCTTTGGAACAAGACTGTTATGCAATACTGAATGTAGATAGTAGCGGATGGGACTGAATAAATACTTACTACTCTGGCACTCTATTAAAATAGGATTTTTGTTAAGTTGCAAATATATATATTATTATATTATTCGGCTCTAAATAAACATCATCCAAGTTTTCACACACAGAAAGCTAAGCTGAAACAATCAAGCGTGCACAAACACACACACACACACACACACACAGGCAAATGTACAGCAAACACGCCCCCACAACCCCCAGCTTCTTCTATCTCTAAGCGATCCAGTAAAACACACACTCACACACACAAAAAACCATTACATTTCACATCTACTTGAGCTGGAGCTGAGCGTAATCAAAGCCAAAGCCACCTACTCACCCACCAATATCTTGACACCTCTTTGTTTCTCACACTCTCCACTACTCAGCTGTTATTTCTCTCTCACACGCTCTCACCTACCGCCTCCCTCCATTCGCCACCTCCCTTCTCTCTCCAACTCCAATTTATCAAATTTACTGGCAGGAGTGGAGAGACCAAAACGCTGCCAAAGCAAAATAGCACCAAAAGTGACTTAATATTATGTCACTAATATTAGTAACATAATAAATAAAGTTAATAACTTAGTAAATACATGTCACTGAGTGAAGGAAGAAACAAAAACTGTTAAAACATGTGACATCATACCATTTATACATAGAAACTACATACATATATGTACATATAATATTTTCATTTACTAATCAGATAAGACCACAGAAACTTAATATGCAAATGTTGTTGATTTCTAATGTTTTCCTGTTGGACACAAGATGTCTCCTACTTCACTGTAAAGTCCATTCTCAGTGGATGTGCACTGGTGGCTTCAAGTTTCTACATCACACTGTACAAGTTGATACTGGACCAGGACTGACTTCCTAACTAATTGTCACAAATCATGCTGGTAGGCCCCGCCCCTTAAAATCAGCTTTTCAATGAGCACAGAGAAACTTTCCACTTTCAGCAGATGAATGTGAAAACATCCTTCTAGAGTCAAACTCTGCACAGACAGCATTCAAACAGTGCACTGTAGGGACAGATTTTTCAGTCGAGGGGCACTAAATCTAAAACAAAGAGCTGAAAGATGCTATAACGCTGCAGAGTTGGGTGATAATTCTCTGTGGGTTTGTTACTATGAGCAACCCCTCTCATATCACATGTCATCTGAGCCATTGTCAATATAAAAATATTGACAAGTGCAGCTTTAAATATGAACTGTGATAACATGAAAAGCAGTGAAACATATTGTTGATACAGTTTTACCTAATCCAAATCAGGATATATACAATTTGTAAAGCTAAATTGCAAAGAGACTCTTTATATAAATAAGTGATTTGACTAGATTTACATCATATTGAGATGGTAATCTATGTTTTCTGATCAGAGCAGATTAGACTGTATCATCATGTTGGATTGTTGTGTTCTGTTGCGTCCTGTTGTATTTTAGATTATATCCTACCATCATATCCTGAGGTCTCGTCTAGTATCTTAATATACTGTATACTAATTCCAAAATGTCTTACTCATAGTACTTGTACGTGGTCTTTGATAATACCCAGACCTCCTCCTCTATCTTTGACGCCTCTCTTACTCCCACTCTTGCAGTTTAATTTAAACCTGCATGGGTGATTTTAATACAAACATTTGAAATTCATTTTCATCCTCTCTCGCCCTTTCCCCCCTGCTTCCTCCCTCTCTCTACTACGCTGCACTGCCTGCCAGCTGATGCGTCTGTCCGCTGTGAGCAGCTGGACCTGTTGCTCCAGTGGGGGGCTGAGTTTCGCCAATCGTCATCCCAGCCACCTGCAGGAGAGAAGGTGCTGGAAGACCTGGTGGCCTTTGATGTCATCCTGGGAGACCTCAACTTTGATAACTGCTCTTCAGGTACGCAGCTGTCAGGGCTAAATTAGTATGTTCTAAATGCAAAATGCATTTTATTTTATGCCAATCAATTTACGCACCAACATGATGGAGCTTTCATCTCTCAATATCTCTTCCCCCCTGACAACATATAAACCCCAGGAAGCTCTGAATACTTGTCTTTAATGTATAATTTATGGAGGTATATGTACATGTAAGACCTCTTATAGCTCTGACACTGGAGGGTTGCACAGTGCCAGGTCTTTTACAGAGGAAACTAATAAAATATTAATATATTTACCATTAATGTAAAAGCTTGATGACAAACTATTGTTGAAACACATGAATCATCAGCAACATATTACGGTAAGATAATTGTTTTTCACACAAACTGTGCTGTCCATTTCTGTTTTCAGTTACAAAATTAACACTACAGTTGCTAAATAATAAGTAATGGCTTGTTATTTCTTTCTTTCTTCATCTCCTAAGCATTATTCTTAGTGTGTATGGAAGATTTAAAATGCCCAAATAAAAACAAATCAAAGAAATAAAGTGAAACAATACACACTCTTACATGGACTTCTTACGTATGCATTGACATTGTCATAAATAAATGAAAAATACATACTAGCTTTTTGTTTTTAATAACTGAAGGAATTGTTTTTCATTGTGACATACAGTTTCCATGAAAATCCAATGATTAGTTAGTCATTATGAGGAAGTGCAAGGGAGCTTTATATTTCTAACATGGAGACACACTGGCCATGCCAAAATGAAAAACTGTCACCTGTCCAGCTTGAAGGCGGGACAATGGGCGGAGCTTATCATCATCTGACACCAGACGGTAGCCATGACAGACAGCCTTTCACAGTAAAACAGCCTTCTGTGAACTAGCCAGCAGGAAGCACACACTACTATTGACAGTACATGTAGTTACACATATGGTTGACTTCGTTTAACAGTGTTGCTGCAGGTTATTTTATTACAATATCCCACAGCCAGTTTCCCCAGTGACCACGTTACTTTACACCAGCGCTCAGAATGAAGTCTAAACATAATTGTAAAGTTATTTGCTTAAACTGTCTAGATACTTAAAGTTAATCCACACCTTCTAGCCAATCAGAATCAAGAAGTGGTCACATTACTCGCATCACGTATAAGGCTTTACAGGTCCAGTGTGCAACATTTAGGAGGATCTATTGGCATGGAGGACGCCATGTTGAACCGCTATGTTTCTACAGTAGCCCAGAACAGACAAACCAAACACTAGTTTAGATAGGGCCTTCAAGTTTTTCATGATTTTCAATCCCACCGTAGTTTCTCCTACACGCCTGGAAAGCTGAGTTGTATTCAGTTGGTTGCAATCTGCAGCTTCACCATTAGATGCCACTAAATCCACACTGGTCATTGAAAGAGTTTTTTAACAAAATAATAGAATAGTTGAAAACACGAGACTAAAACAAGCACAAAAAGCCAGGCTTTGTGTTCTTATTTTTTTCTAATAAAATCTAAAAGGAAAATTCTCACTTATTATCTTATTATCATTGGATAGTCATAAGATTAAAATCCCACTTTCAAATGAATCTATCCTTTTGTTTTTGCATCAAAATTCTCATCAATGAGAACAAACATTACCTTTCTGTCAAGGTATCTTATCTTATGAATGAAGAATTTGTTAAGAATAATGTTGGAGAGGAAGTATATATTAACTTTATCCACATTCATCAGCCATTTTGCAGGCAGTAACTCATGAAACATCTTCAAAAGAAGAGTCAGGAAAGTGTTACTAAAGCTGTGACTGTGTGTGTAAAATTGTACTGTATGTGTGCTCTTGTGCTTTTTCCAGAGGACAAGCTGGAGCAGCAGCATGCACTTTTTACTCAATACAAGGACCCATGTCGCCTGGGGCCAGGGGAGGACAAACCATGGGCTCTGGGTAATGACACAAATCCACACAAGCACAGACACGTTCCTCTTGGAACTCACATATAGATCTCACATATACTGCACTTCTTTATGCTCATAAACATCCAATACATCTGTGAGTGCAAACTAATCCTCAAAAAGTTACATTATGAAATGCAGCAACACCTGCACACATACACATACGTACACGCATAACCTCAGTGGCTCAGGAAATCTGGTCATCCATATAGTGCATGCAGAGCAGAGCAGACTGTAATCTGGCTCCGTCTGGTTAAATCAGGATGCACCCACTGTGTGAATTAAAATACACCCAGTACAGCGTGCTGATACATGGGCATTAGTGACGTAAAGACTGGAGGGTTTTGGTCTGGATGTGAAGCGTTATTTAGGCCAGCGGTATTTCGGGGACAGTGTGGGCAGGACAGAGTGAAAGGGCTCGTTTAGAGAAGGGCTTATTTATTTGGACAGGGACATTTTGCGCGGTGAACCAGGGGAAAAGATGTGCGCCTCCGCCTGTTTGGTCTTTAAACAGGAGGGAAAGAGGGAGGCAAGACAAGGAGAATGAATCAATGAATCAATCAAAGAAAGATTATCCCATTTGGTAAAGCTTATTCAAAGGAGATTAGACCTAAATGAATACAATAGGCAAAAAGGCAGGCAGAGAGCCAGGCTGCCAGCTATTGTCAGACATTCGTTGTGCTGAACCCAGAGCTCCAGGAATCTCCCAGGGCCGACCACCCTGCCTGCCAAATGCACAGACAACCGGCAGGGCTTGTGCTGCATTCAGATCACATGGGAATTACGGCTAGCCTGGGACCACTTCATAGTTAAAAAGCAGTGACATGGAAGGAAAATCACACGATTGAAGCCGTGAAAATAAAAAGGTTCAGTAAAAATCTTGCCGTTGATCATTTTCTCTTGCATAACTGACAAGACTCTTTTTGGTGATGCCTTTGAGTTCATGTTTGATGGCAGATTAAACATGTCAACCACAAACCAAAAATCCAACAAGTGCAGTAACTGTGGCTTCCCACGTATTTTAGGAGTCGCAGTTGAAATTAGTGTGAAAGAATATTTATTTTCCTCCCCACACATATGCTGCAGCTTGTTGGGGTTGTAGAATTTATGAGGACAGAGAAACTGAGGTCATGTTAACCACCTTAAAGCAGGAATCTTGTGTGTATGTGCACTTTCCCAAACAAGCTGAAAGTAGCGCAGCAGACAGGCAGCAGCCAGTCTGTGTAGCTGAGCGTGCCTGCCTCACACCTCACCATCTTTGTTTCAGTGATCTAAAAACCTGCTCTTAGACTCGTGAAAAGTGCCGGCTGTGCATCAGACGCCTACTTTTCATAAGAGCTCCAGACACTTGTGAATTGACTGGAGTAACTTCAGAGTGCTGCTCTCTTTCGTATCGGGCATTTTAAACACATCCTCATTGTCAGGAGGATCTCTGAGTGCCCGTCTCTCTCTGGCTGTTATATTTCACTGGCTGATGACAGTGGATTGTTGTCAGAGGAGCATAAAGGTGAAGATATACTCTCTCAGAACAAGGTGTGCTGACACCTCCTTTGCCTCACCAAGACGTACTTTTAGGCCGCGTTCAGTCTGCAGGCCAATCTGACCCAAATCAGATTTTTTTTTTTCTCATATGTGACTCAGATCACATATTTGCACCCCAGTGTTAACAATTCTGATTTGGACCACTTTCAGGTCAGATTTTTTGCAATGTGACCTCAGACCACATCAGAATGTGACTTTTACAACACTCTAGATCTGCATTTGTCATGTGGGTCACTTCAGGTAGCATTAGAACACTTATACATGAGGGGAGGATCTGGTAGTCATAGTGACAAGGGAAGGATTGGGAAGCATAATAAACAGGGTACAGAAAAAAATGGTGGCCATATTGGCAGGTAACCTTGCGAGGCAGCTGTACTCGCAAGATCATGAAATCACAAGACCATGCGAAAATCCATCTTCCCAAGCTTCAAGCTATGCATTTGTGTCCAACCACAGTGGTACTGGACAAACTACAGGCCTGCCTGAATCCATGACCCAGATATCACTCACGCCTCCAGTCTCGTATCTGAAAGCACAACTCAAAGGTATGGTAGTGAAAACAGGCCATGGGTAAAGTAGGAACATTAGGAATGTGAAGGAAAGAAATTGCCACCCTTTTGAAGCTAATTTTTCTTGCACGGCCAATCACTGCAAGAAAGCATTAATGACTGTTGGATAGTCTGTTTCAGAAAGAACACAAATCTGGAGACCCAGACCGCCACCTTCACACCGTCAAAAAAGCACTTCTATCTCTGGGGTCCTTCAGTGGATTCCAGGTTCTCACTAGTAGAGATTAGTGGGTATAACTGGTACCTCAACCACAAGAGAACCCATAGGAGTGGCTCTTATCTTCTCTGCACTGTTACACTCAAAGGGAGGTATTTATGCATTTTAATGTGTCATTCGACAGGTACTTTACTGGATCCCAGTGGCCTTTATGATGACGAAGTCAGTTCACCTGAAAGTTTACAAAAGTAAGTCACACACACACACACACACACACACATCCACACACACACACACACACACACACACACACACACACACACACACACACACACACACACACACACACACTAACTTGATATACTCTTTGTCTTTTGTTTGCATTGACTTCCATTCATTCCTAGGACACTGAGATATACTTTAACCCACATTTTTGCGTGCGCATGGCGGCTACCTTGCATATCCTGTATCCATTGGGAGCAGTTGGTTGTGCATGTCTTAAAATGCAAATGAGTGGTTATAAAGCAAGTATATCTCCAGCTTTCCCTGGACCTTTACCACAGCCACTGCACCAGGAAAAACATTGATTTACACAGCTATTATCTCTTGACTCTAAGTCCTAGTAAAAGCTCAACCTGTGACCTAAGCACTACACTCTCTAATTTGTGGTCCTGAGCACTCTCTTGATTTTACCAGAAATGGTAACATTATTTATGTAATTCCCTTTGAATCCATGTTGTTTTATTGCTCTTTATAACCTATGTTTGCAACTCCAGGAATACATCTTCCTGCACGTCTGTCTGTCTCTCTGTCTAAACTTCAGCCGACTGATCTTTTTCTCATCCCTATGTGTCTATCAGAGTTATGGAGAATGAGGAGGGGAGGAAGGAGTATCTGGTGTTTCCTCCCAGTAAGAGCCAGTGTCCTGCCAGCAGTCAGAAAGGGAGGAAGATCCCACTGAAGGGCAATGGACGCCGCATTGACTACATCCTCTACAGCGACGAGGGCCTGCAGCAGGACTGGAAACTGGTATGTTTTGTCGAGGATTACAGGGAACTTTAATAAAAGCATTCTCCTGCCTTAAATTGTCTTAAAGACCAAAAATGTAAATCTAAGAGTAGATGCAAGAGTTATCTCTCATCTCCTCTAACTCCCAGCAAGAAAGAGAATATGTTTTCCAAACTGTTAAACCACTAATCTTATTCCACACTGTCTCTCAGACTTTATCTCATATATATATATATATATATACATATATATATATATATATATATATATATATATATAATATATATATATATATATATATATATATAATATATATATATAAATATATATATATAATATATATATATATATATATATATATATATATATATATATATATAATATCCAACTCTTCATTTAGATGATGTGTGCATCATTTTACACACATTCTTCTATGGGAACTCCACAAGTATATAATAAATAATATTCTGTAGGTTTAAATAAACTTTAGACAGACAACATGAGTTTGTAATCACTGCCTGCTAAAATGGTTAACTGGCTTAAATAGGGGTTTATTTCTTAATTTAGTTAACGCAGATTCAAAGACATTTGTCGATCTACAAGTGAAAAGTCAGTTAGTTGATAGCCTTTTGGTAATTAATATCTATAATCAATGGTTCCCAAGCTTTTTTAAAACAAAGCAATGTCTACTTGAGAACTGTCGTCACTTTGTGACCAGTTCAACCACATGATCTGATCTTTTTCAAAGTTTGAAGCGGGCCTCTCCAGGGAGCTGCAAACAGTTTTAGGCTTAGTGAGAGGAAGTGAAAGAATGAGTGATCTGGTTAAAGAGATAGTACAGTTGTTTGGGGGATTTTTCAGTTCACTCCAGAGTGACTAAGTAATAAAAAAAGAAATGCCATAGGACAGATCTCTTTTATGTATTTGGTGTAGTCTGAAGTTATGGCAAACAGCAATAAAAGGTATTCTTAACTCAGCTGTTGAGTGTCTATGGGATCAAATAACATAATCATGATCCCATATGCAGGGGTGGATCTAGAGAAATATTCCTGTGGTGGCAGAAATATATCTGATTTAATCAGATATCATATATCAGATAATCACATCTATATAAAGGTATCTATCTATATCTAAAGGTAGCATTGGGAGTCAATAAATATTTCCAAATTTTTGGATTTTGTCATTGAATTAATCTAAATGAATGTGTTACATTTAACATGATTTGACACCAAACTGGGGTTGCCAGGCATTTTCCGCCCCTGCACATATGACATCCAGGAATTGAGCCTAGGGGGTGCCATTTTCCAAGCTTTGTCTGAGGGGAGGCCCCAAACCACTGCATTATTTCAACAATTTCACAAGAAAAAAAACACAGGTTTTAGTCTGAAAACTGAAGCAGAGTATTGCGTCTCAGACACATTTTGTAAGCCCATGGAGCCCCAATTTGAGCAGATTTTGTCTTAAGGATCCTCTCTGAGTAATTTTTAGATTTTAAGTTTCATGAATATTAAGTCTTCAGAGTTACAATAAAACTGCAATCAGTAAAAATAGCCAACCCTGTTTCCTGTTCCAACCTACAAAAAATGTGATAGAAGTTAAAATACAACCTACCCAAGTTGAAACAGCAGTTTGAAAACCACTGTTCTAAACCAATTAGAGGTTTATTTCCTTAATTGTATTAAAAGAAACCTGCATTTCCACTGATGATGATTGAGTTCAGCGGGCCTACACCAGTTAGTAGGTCCAAATCTTCCATTACATGTCTGTATGTGGATTTGGAATCACATTTTCAAATCCAACATGGAGCTCTGTGCAGTATTCAGTATTTCTCACACTGTATACACTGTATGTATCAAACATTAGGACAAAAATATTGTGTCCATTCACAGAAACCTAGTGCAAGACCTCTGCTGAACTGTGTGCCATTTTCTTGTCAGCAGGGAAACGATCTTCCTTATTCTGCCTCATTTCCTATAGCAACAAGACACTTGTCAACGCTTTCTTTTTTCTGAGCTATGTGAAACATAACTGGAAGCCAGTGAAATGATCTCATACCACAGGGGAGCGTTTGACTTGTTAAAAGGATGAAAAGATTTAAAGCTAGAGAGGCAAACAATGAAACACAACAACACAAACTGGGAAGGAAAGGAATGAGGGCAGCACTGTCATGGCTGTCTGTCTGTGTGAGGGATTGGAGAGGATTGGAAAACCAAATCACATCATTTACATAGAACATCTCTCTCCCCTTCCCCTCTCTCTGTCTGACTGTCTGTGTCTCTTAACCCGGAGCCACCTGATGCCACCTTGTGCCAGAATACAGTTACTGTAATGTGTCACTTGACAGATATATTGTTGTTTTGCTTCCTCATAAGCAAACCTCAAACCCCTTAGGAAAACCAGTGTGGCATTTCTTTACACATGCTATTTCATCATGTGTGGTTTCTGTTTATTCTGCTGCCTTATATTCACTTTTGGAGAGCACCAACCAAGAAATCTGACTAAACTGATACCACTGGTGATTATATATGTCTGTCATTAATTGTTAATAACAATAGATTAAAATGCATCAGTATGATATAATAAGTGGTGACAGACATCCTAGTAGTACAAGTATTTTAATTATGGTGCTAACTAGTAGTAATAGTATTTTCTGAAGTAAAATAGTGGCAGTGCACAGTGCCCTGTGTGGTCAAGGGTATATAAATATCTCTGTCCACATACTTTTGGTCAGGTTTTTTTTTCATGATTTGGACAAGTCCCCTTAGTTTCAGTTAAGGGAAATGTTTATGCTATAGCCAATGGGCTAGCACGCATCTACAATAGTGCACTTCAAACAGGGGAAGTCTGCTGTTTCAACATAACAATGACATCACAAAGCCAGGTCTGTAAAGAAAAGGTAGTCCCAGGTGTGGAGGAACTTGACTGGCCTACACAGAGCCCTGACCACAACCCTGCCCCCCGGCCTTATCATCCAACATGTCCACATACTTTTGGTTATATAATATAGTACTTGCAGTAGAGAAAGTATGGTAACACGTTACTTTAACACCCCGTCCATTTAAGAATTTAAAATCAGTAAACACACTTAATAAATGGTTTATAACACACTATAATGTAGTTGTAAACAGTTAAAAGGACATTGTAAATGATGAAAGACATATTTCATATTATTACAGCTGTTTTACTGTATTTGTTATTTGACTGTTATTATCTGTTTATATCATAGACTGTATAATTAAAAACTGATTTAGTCACCAATAGTTTTCTGAAGAGCCAATGTGAAGCTCAGTGTGGTCGGCTCTGGCTGTCGCCATCTTGGCAGTCCTGACTCCAACGGCTCCGGCTCCAACGGTTAATATGAAAATGGGCAAAGAGGTGGAGCGTGGGTGGAGGCAGCTGAATGAAGCCTGGTTACTGAAAACAGTCTCCAGTGATAGCACCCACCTGTCACTCAAAGCAGCTATGTCCCTTAATTGTCTGTAACTTTAAGCATATACAATATAATAATAATTTAATATAATTAATGAGTTATATAAAAATCCACCCCACGTACAGTTGCCATGAATGCGTACATTAGCTATAGAGACCAAAACTGTTGTTTGTACCAGGCTGTAAACATGTTTATTTCTGCTGTAAACTTGGGCATTATTATTATTTATTATGGGATTGATTCACTTCTGGAGATATTTATGTGTCAACCCTCACATAATAATTAACTAAAACTAATACTGAAACTAATAAAAACTGAACTGAAACAAGTAAACTCACTCAACTAACTGAAACTAAACTGAACTGAAAACCAAACCAAAAGAAAACCAAATAAAAAATAATGGAAATTAGAAAATAACTCTGCTACAGAGCAGAAGGTTAGATAATGAGGATTTGATGACACTTCTCTCTTCGTGCAGGAAATCGAGGAGTTCAGTTTCGTCACCCAGCTGGCCGGCATCACCGACCACCTGTCTGTGGCCATGCGGTTGGCTGTTTCCACCGGCGAAGAGGAGCCTTAGATTGACCACCTGAGCTTTTTTTAAAATACTGCCATGGAGGAATGACAGGCAGCCAGGAAGACGAAGAGATTACAGATAAGGAGCTGCTTGAGAGAGACTAAATGTCCTGCGAGAGGATTGAAGGGACGGAGAGAATGGACGAGTGAATCACCGCAGGAGCGCTCGGTGGATGAATGGATACGAAGAGGAGTGATATGAAAGAGAAAGACACTGGAGGGGAAAAGATAAGCAGGGGAATTCAGTTTAGAAAGCCAGAAAGGTATTCATCTTCCTGGGTAAACCACCCACACACAAACACACACACACACACACGCTATAAATACAGTACCACACACAAACACAACTGATCGACATTTTGACTGTTGAATATCGCCTGGCCTCTCCACTCTTCTCCTCCCTGTTGAACTAATCCAGAGGGTTTTATTTACAGTGAATTGTTTCATGTAGCCGATTTACACACACTCCTTTTATTGGATCTGTTTTAGCTGTAGTATGAGTATGATATTTTTTTTATGATTCTACCTTCAGGGACAGTTGGATCCTTATTCTTTAGTGTGTATAAGGAAAACACATCATTTAAGTGATGAGAGTGAAGCGTACAGCTACTGACTGGCCTTTACACTGACCGTCTGTGTCCTTGTGTTGTACTCCTTTCCTGAAAGGCTATTGGTCAATTCAGTCGTTCACCTTACTACTCCCACGTCAGTCCCAGGAACCTCAACAAGTGTCTTTTTTTCTAAAAAATAAACTAAACTAGTCTTTCTAAAAGAAGAAAAATAATATGATACAAAATTTCTATTGTCGCCACACCACTTTTTATAGGGAGTTTAAATGCCTGTTTAATACTATATGGTATGTTTCTAATCTGAGGTATTGTATAAAGGGACATGAAACTGAAAAAGTTGTTTGATGCAATGCTTATAGCATGTTCTTCAGCCATGACTGGTGGGAGTTAGATAGGACTTTTTTTTGGTGTAGTAGTGGGAACTGAGGTTTTGCTGATGCATGATGGGAAACGGTGTCAGTTTACAACATTAATATAGCGTCTTGATACACTTACTTGCTTGCTTGAGTCGGGCTGCTTGACGCGTCAAGAAGCATTTTGCCCTTGAAAACACACACTTAACTGTATGCCAGTGTGACATTTGTGCATGTGAGACTCCACCCTGCTGGTGACACACACAATGGTATGCACAGGAACATACTGAGGATTGACACAAAGCAGGCACACAGCTGTACACATCATGTTCAGAGGGACTTCAGGTGATGTAATATACCCTCTTGCGGCCATATTGGAGGTCCTCTAGTGACAACATGTGACTTGGCTATCTTTGAGAGCGTAGATATCGTCACTGTAGCTATCTGGTTAGCGAGCAGCCACTGTCTTGTAAGCGCGTCTGATTTGTGCACTAGCTAGAATTCAGTATACAGCCCAGTTTTTGGTTGGAGCACAACCAGTTGTCCAACGAATCACCATGAAAACAGCCATATTGTGACGCAACTGCAAAACCTCACAATACAGAAACATTTTGAAGACCTACGGGCTACACACATCCTGTACAATATGCCAAGTATACACCATCGCAGTTTATAAAGTTTGAAAGGTCCGAAAGATTAAGACAGCCCATCCACAGATATATAGACATCATGTAGCGCCAAGGCTAATGAGTCCAAACCATCCACATACAAAAATGAAGCCAAAATATCCTGGATATGGCTGCTGCCATCTTTCACCAATCAGTCTTAAAATTACAGAACCCATCTTTGGGAAACATTTATTTGATATTGAAATACTTGTTTGGCCCGTCTGCTAACATGGAGGCAGCAAGCTTTATGACCTATACTGCATAGATAGAGATAATTTGGCTTCACTTTTGAAGAGCTGTCATGTCGTCCATCTTTATGTTGATGGTCCAGACATACAGCATGCCAAGTACACAAATGCATATGGTAGTGTAACTTGAGGTGTGTTCAGACTGAAAGAAAAACAAACTTTGCTCTGGGCGATGCAAAATGAGTCAAAAAGCTCCCGCCCAAATGTCTCAATTTAAAGGTCCAGTGTATAATCACCTGAAAATAAGAATTGTTTTTTTGTTACTTTTGGAATAAACCATTTTTATCTACAGAGGGAGCGGGTCCTCTTCTACGGAGTCTGCCATGTTTCTACAGTAGCCTAGAATGGCCAAACACTGGCTGTAGATGGAGGGATTCACAGTTTTTCGCTAGTTTCACAGCCACTATAGTTTCTTGGAATAGGAGGGTGTGGCGAGAATGTGTCACACTGATCCTTTAAGTGAAACCTTTGCAAGGCCTTACGACTCCAGCTCATGAACAAACAGAGCTAAAAGGAGACGGGTGTGTGAAAATAATGCAGTTGAAGTTTTCAGTTATATCTTGTACATTATGTGGCTAGCTAGCTACAGCTAACGTCTGTACAGTCCCTAAATTTGCTGTTTGAAGCAACTAAACACAAAATGCACAAATAGTGCAAGGCAAAAATTTGCTTGACATTCAGTCTGAACACACCTTCAGGGTTTGGGTTAGGCTCACCGTGGGTTGACACATTGCGTCTGCTGGTGCTTGGATAACAATGTACTGCAGGTGCACACCAATGCAGACATTAGGACCTCTGGAATATTTTCACTCATAATAATGCTGTCATAGTATAGCATTCACATTCAACTCTCAATCTCTAACAGGCCTACACAGACCATGGTGTCAAACAGGAGCTGGAACTTTGTGAAGAGCAGTGTTGAGTCAGTGTAGCTGTTGAGAGACTTGTTGATACTGAAAGTCTCCTTGTGTCCCCTGTAGCCCTGTTGGCCATGGTGTCCCCTGTGAACTTGTGCTATGTTGAGTGATAGGCTAGTACCATTACCTCAAACGCTGGAAAATACAATGGAAGCAGGTCTGAACCTACAGTAAAACAGTGAATTTAACGATTGCTAACAGGTGCCACCATTCACAGAGTGAATTGAACTGAGCAAGGGTCTTCTATTACTTACGAATTCAACTTTAAATTTGTAAGAAGGAGACAGTGTTATTTTTTCTTTCAAGGGTAATGGTGGCTAGAGCTCTGATCGGGCCCGAAAAATCAGGCCATAACATTCTGTGTAAGCCTGAACCGAGCCTGAACCGAGCCTGAACCGCAGAAGCAGTTTTGGGCCTAAGCCGAATAAATAATTTCTTACAAGCTAAGGTAAACTACATTGTGCATACAATATAGTTCAAATAATTATCAAAACTAATAACAAATGCACTCATTAATTACAGTTGCATGCATTATTAATAAAATATTAATTATATAAATACATTTTTAAATCTAATTCTGTATGAGCCCGACCTACGGCCGCAGTTTTGAGCCCGAAAATCAAAGCTTTAATAGTGGCCTCCCTAACACTCAACACTATATATGCTGCTATGTGTTAGCAGGAAACTCCAGATCAATGATCTACTGTACTGGGAACACATGTTGTCATCAGTCAACATGGGAAGACTACCAAAATCCTGCTGTATATTTCTGTTACTGGTGTGTGTAAAAAAAAAATCCCTAATGTAGAAGCCTGTTTCTCTGAATAAAACATGTATTACTGTAACAGTGTAGGTTTTCAGATACTGTTTGAGATCCATGGTCTGCATGGTGAACAATGTTTACAACAGTTTTTGGACCTGCCTGCCTGTTTCTTGGCACTAGAGAGGAGCTTTGCAAGTGTCACTTTCAACACAGATGTGTGTATGTGTGTATGTTTGGGCAGCTCATCGCATTATATTTTCTCAATACAAATGTGCTAACTGGTGTTTCTCTGAGCACACTGTGGTGAAAAGTAACACAGGATGGACACAGTGCGCCTGTAGATGTGTGTGTGTGTGTGTGTGTGTGTGTGTGTGTGTGTGTGTGTGTGTGTGTGGGTGTGTGTGGGCGGTATGTGTGAGTGAATGCAGGGAGCATACTGGTTGTTGTGTTATGTATGTTCAACTGTCATTTTTACATACAGTCCACTGGTCCACTGCTTTGACACTCTCTATGTCTCTTTATGACTCACATTATTATGATTATTATGTCTAATATATTCTTCTTATTACTGAGGTTTGTATCTGTGCTTTCTTTTTCAATTCAAGCTCCACCATGTTTTGTTTTTTTGGGTTTTTTTTTCTTAGATTGAGTCTGTGTCAGGTTCTTTTGCGAATCAACACTCCTCTGGTTAGGGTGAACTTCAAATGAGATCAAATGCTAGAATATGTTATTTACTTGGTAAATAGTCATGTGAATACACTATAGGTCTACAGTGAGTTTCAGAAAGGTGCCACAGTTTCCCTGAGAATCATCTCTTAGGGTGAAATGGTTTTGACTGTGCCGATGTAAACATTTATTTGATCACCTTTACTTTTCAACTGTCCTGTTCTGTGACACAACACCTGAATACTGCCGGACAATTTATCGATAAGTGTGGAGAGACATCCAAACAGTGGGACTTATGTAATGCTCTTATCTTCATGATGATACCACACTGTATTGTTTTAGAAAGCTGGAGGTAATCCATTTTATAATTTAAAGTGTATTTTGTTTTGCTAATTGTTCTGTGTTTGTATTTTTGTATATTTTTATGAATAACAAAAAGTCTAAAGAAAGTGGGGGGTAAAGAAGATGACTGGTTGATTAAAGGTGAGGGTGATGTGTGTATACAAGGAGGCTATGTGGTGGGACCTTGACATTTTAGTCACTTTAGGTGCTCATTAAATTAATTATTGGAGGAAATATGAGCTCACCAGATGGAAGGCAATGTTCTTCACAATTTCTAAAAGAAAACAAATAGGTATGTGGGTGTAAAGTAAGAAAACATAAGTAAGATTCTTCCATTAGTGCTGTCTTTATCACTTTTTTGGCCACTCAGAGGCAGTTCTGGTTTAGAAAAATATCCAGGTCTAAATTCTCCAATACGTTCACCAGCTGTCTGTTTTTTGAGCTTCTTCACTGAAAACAGCTGCCTGCTAAAACTAAACTGGAACGTAACTGATGGAGCAGTGAGACTGTAGCAAAACAGTACCGTTTTGGGCCAAAACAATGTGCTGAAAGACGCTAAAACGCTATGTAGAGCTGAGGGGTACTGCAGAGTCAAATAATTCCTTGTGGGTTCATCAAGCAACCCTTTTCACTTTACACATCTTTATCCAACCTTCATAGAAAAATATTGATAAGTGCAGCTTTATAGAAATACAAACTATGTAAAATCAGTGCAGGATTACTTCTTCACTGAACAAATTGGGGTGCTGCTCACTACTGATCAAAACAGCTGCTTATTGATGTACTTTTAGCATGATATGAAGGACATCTCTCACTGACTAAGTAAATTGTGTTCTTTCTTACTTTACACTTACTACTGTCAATTTGCCTCATTTTTTAACATTAGCAGTTGCTGAGAAGATTGCCTACCACCATAACAAATTTTACAAGCACCAGAGTGACTGAAATCCAACCCCAAGTAACCAGTCATAGCCTCTGAATTATTTCTAGGCCCTCTGTGGAGCTACACACTCACCACACAGACCCCCTGCACTGCCAGCACCATGAGCAAACACAGCTCAGGCTGACCTGAAGGAGTCAAGCAGGGAAGACCTGCTGTGGAGTTGGATATCACACCCCAACCAGGGCTCCTCTTCTCAAATCATTGTCAGAACCGTGTCACTATGGAATGGACAATTAGATTGTCCTGAAGGTCATTGTACTTGTCATGTGCTGAGACCAAAGACACCAAAATAATCTATGTATCCCCTGTGCTGAATGCAAACAAATATTATGTTGAGTGATAATCAGATTATAAGGACTAAGGAGGAATAGAATGTGTGTATCAAACATGAGCACTCACATGTATTTACTCTAACAGGTTACCCTTGCTTTTCTGGATAATTCACAATGGATTTCAGCTAAAATTCAGCCAGGGCTCAGGCATTATTTTAGTGTCTATAATCTAAAGTAAACCAATTGTTCAATTGCTGACAAATGTCTGTTTCGAGAATTCCTGAAATAATTGTAGTATTTTGTAACATTTCTGATCACCAGTCACTGTCCCCCATGTGTCCACATCAAGTTCAGGACAGGATTATTCAGTAGTTGGCCGGGGCGCAGCAGGTCCGAGATGAGCTGTAAGCTTTTGTAGCCGCATGTACTGTAATAATGCTTCAGGCTTGTAGTCTCAGTAGAAGTGATGCCTCACTTTGCAATCCTTTTTCTGGTTTGATTTTCTATCATTTTTCTCAAATGTTAATGTTTTTTTAATTGATTTTTGGTCTTTGGATGGGGGCTGTTTCTCGATGGGGTCATCTTGCTTGGTCTCTGTAATATGGATGGGGGATCAATAGCTTTTCTCTTTCTAAGCTTCATCAACAAACTGCTTATTTTCTTCTGCTTTTTTAAAAAAGAAACAAAGGAGTTTTCCCTCTTTATCTGTGTCTCTGTGTCGTTATTTGAGGTCTAAGCATTTATTCTTGTATGGAAATAACTAGTCAGTGTAACAACCATAGTGACGTTCAGACTAGTACTACTGACTTGTGGTCAGTGGAAGCACGTGGTTGACCCTAAGTTTCACTATAGAGTCGGCTGTTCATTTTTAAGTTAATTTCCTTTTTTTCTCCCAACATGAAATGCAATCACAATATGTGTGAATATCACGGGGGTCTATGGCACTCAAGTGAGGCTGGTATTTAAATACCACAGTGGGGTAAGACCGTTAAGTTACTCTTAAAGGACAAAGTAAGAAGAAGTGAAAGAAGCTTTTTAAAAGTCCTTCTGCTTTTGATGAACAGAGGGAAAAATCTAGCACTAAACATTTACATACTGTATTCTGTCAAGCGTGAAAAACTCCCCCAAGTCATATATGACTAACACAAAACCATTAAACTGGAAAAGTGTCAAAGGGCATTGTTTGTCCCAAATAATTCCGAGTACAGTTAAAGAACATTTAAACTGTTGTGAGATAGCCCTTTGGTTCTCCAGTGCTAGTACATACAGCCAGAAAGCATCTCAACAAAGCTTCTTGGTCAACATGAGCAAATGGTCAAATAAATGTGTGTAATGTCAAAGGAGTCGCTCATAGCAACACACCCAGAAAGAATCATCACTCAAGCTTTTTAGTCCGTGGGTCGTAACCTTTTTCCTTAAGGGACCCATTTTCTGTCATTGCGTAAACTGACCAAGTGAGATATTTGATGGATATTTCACATTATATTTAATGTATAACAACAACAGTGGAGAACACCTAATAAACCGAACAAACAGTGAACACAGTGCTGCAGGGAGTTTGTGTAAAACGTGATTCTGAGTATTTTTTTAGCTGATTATTTCCTGTGAATATTACAAAACAGAGGAGTTTTCCTAATATTTTTAGGGAACTTTTTATGCTATTTTTATACAATTCTCTGTCTGTAGTATGTATCTTTTATTTAACAATCACTCATACTTTATTAGGCCTGTTGGTCAGAAGCTTGCGATATGTATCACAATATATTTTTTTGTTTTTTAATTTTGGCCTTTTATTGCCTTTAATTGACAGTGACAGCTGGAGATAGACAGGAAAGGGGGGTAGAGAGAGGGGATGACACGCAGCAAACGACCACAGGTCGGACTCGTTCCATGGTCACCAGCTCTACCAAGTAAGCTAACTGGGCGCCCAATATATTTAGATTTTTAAAATTAAAATTGAGAGAAACTGTCAAAGAACACACTAGCACATTTTTAAAAGGTTAAAATGTTATTTTATGCAACCAGAACACAGTGGGATCTGCATTTGTATTGATCACAGGTGCTGTAAGATCTAACACCACAGCCTGTAGTTTGTTTACAGCACTGCGTCTAGCCATTTTTAGGAATCTTTTGTGATCTTTTCTTACCTGCCCAGCACCAAACAGTAGAAAGACAAAGTTAGCAACTAGTGAAAATAGTGGTGAACAGAGTGGAACATTTAGCAGCTAAAGAGTCTGGCCAGAAACACCTCAAATAAATGCTTATGTTGCTCTGTGTGGGCTGGATGTGTAAATGGGCTGTAACTGTTTGCCACACATACGGTGATAATATGATGTTTTTAGCTTCTTTCGCTGTCCCCACATGGACAGAAAGTAATAATTAAAGCTGCACTAATACATATTTTTATATGAACAATGGGTCAAAAGACTATGTGTAAAGTGAAAAGGGGCACTTGAATCAACAGAATTATGATCTGACTCTGTAGTTCTCACCTCTACGGAGGGTTCGAGCATCTTTCAGCTTATTATTTTGGTTTTATGGCCTGCAACTTTACTGTTTCCATTCAGTCTGAGCACTCTCATCGGCAACAAAACTATCTCACTGTACTCTACCTGCCTAGCACCAAACAATAGACAGATAAAGTTTGCAACTAGCCAGCTGGTTGGACATCATCAAATGGACAGAAACTTGGTGAAAGGAATGCCAGTGTCACTCTATGTCTGCTGCCGGATGTATAAATAAGCAAAAGTTTGCTAAAATGTTTGCCATAATATGTCATAGTTGTGTCTACAGCTTGATGCACTCCAAAAAAAAAATTAAAGCTGCTTTGAATTGAGTTTGGTAAATGTGTGTTCTTTACTACATCTTCTACCATGTTAGATCTACAAAATTCACTTGCTACTAGATGTTGCACATGACCACCTACATCTCAGTCCAGAACAATGGGCTATACAGCCGACCAGATTGCACTGACAAAGCCAGTGATTTTACCTGGCATATAATTGTAGACCGTGCTTAAAACTGCACAGAAATAAAATAAAACACCAAAACTGTCTTAGTAAGTCTTTTCAACAATCAGCAGTGCTGGTTTGGTCGGAATAAACACTTAATTCACAGAGTTAGATGAGAAAACAGCCACAACAGGCTGCTATGGCCACCATTAGCGAATCCTTGCGGACAAATCAACCGTCAAGGTACGTCCACTAAAAGTCGTTGTTTTTGTCACTGACAAGCTCAGATTGTTGTTTTAAGTGTCAGCATTATTGAAAGGATCCCTACAGAGATAGAGCTTCTGCTTAACCAGAAACAGCCGTAATTTCACTATCGCTCTCCACCAGACTCCATAGACAGTCATTTTACCTCACATATCATTGTAACACTTGAATGAAAAATGTAAATGAAAACAAAATAAATCCTTAATTCATTGACACAGATGATAAAAAACGCAGTTTCCACTATATCTTTACATAGCAAATAGTCGTTTGCTACTATAATAATGTTCTAAATCTCATACTATATATAACCTTTAAAGAAACTGATATTTATTCATCTCAACATTTCATTTGTTTTAGTGCTGAGTCTTGAACCATTGCAACAGTGAAACTAATCTTGCAGTGAAGTAATTGTACTGAAATCATTTGACCTCTAGCGACCAGCTTTAGTTTAGTTTATTTCAAGACACAACAAAAGTGAAGTGGAAGTCAAACAAGGATTGCGTAAGATTTGTACATGTCACGAAACTAACTGAATTGTCCAGTCCAGATAATTAAATAATCTCCTCACATTGCTGCAAGGTGTCTTAACATATGACTGGTTAAAACGGGGCAAGATGATTACTTTGACTAACTCAAGCTAAAAATATAGAGCGTCGATATGAGTCAGACATACAGTAAGCCCTAGAAACAGATGCACTCCAGTTCTCACACAGAGCTCACCTGTTACAGTACAGGTTTCACACTGAGGATGAATACTGCTGCAGTGTGTGTCTACTCTTTGGATGCATACATTTATACACCTTTTCCACACACCTTTTAAAGGTTAATTTAGTATATTCCAAACTTTTCTTTAGCTTCATGAAGGTCAGTTTACTTGTCATGCGAGTACTGCTCATACTCATCCTGGGAAATCTGTTGTATAATGTCGTCTGTGGCTCTGTTAGTAAGTGAGAAAATGACAGAGGATCCCTTTAATAATGTATCTTGTTAAAATGAAATCTTCATCCTTGTGTTGATGATATAATTGCTTTTGTTGCACAACAATTCTTGTGAAAACCTTTGAGAATCCCCAGGCCAGTTTTACTGCTGTGAAGCATCATTGTACTGAGATAACTTCTGTTATGAATTGGTGCTATACAAATAAAATGTCATTAAATTGAATTGAATTGAGCGCTGTGTGTCAAAATCTCGGTCAATTTTCTCCTTTCCTGTAATTAGACATGCTATGTGCTAGGCTAGTCTATGTTGAAATGACAACCACATTTTGAAGATGATTAAAAGATAAAAGCGACTATAGTCACTTCTTAAGTTAAATAATGTTAGCAAAACACTAGCCTGCTAACTTACTAGCTAATCTTCATCAATTAAATAACTAGCTAATACTATCAAACATTAGTTAGTTAGTTAGTTAGTTAGCATTTTGATAACATTAGCTAACTTAAAATTTTTTTTTTGTTTTTTAGTTTTTTTGGGTTTTTTTTTGGAATTTTTTATTTTTTTGGGAAAATAAGAACCAAAGGGCCATGTATTCATACATTTTATTTCCTCTGTTTTCCTGTGATAACGAGTTTTCTCGAGATCTCGAGATAAGGACTGTGATATGATAACTGCGGTCAAGCCAGCTGTTACTCCGATCTCCATGCCAAAGTGGCATCTTTCTCATATATTTGAGGTACAGTAAAAGCAGGTACAAATGTGGAATTTTATTGTTGAATTTCTCCAAATTGGTGCAGAAAAAATGCTTGATATTAAGTATACTTGTATTCTTATATGTGTAGAAGTCAAATATACCATCCATAGCCAGGAATTATTGAGCAATATGTTTTTACATTAGCTCAAATATGAGAAAAGATGCCACTTGGAGATACAAATATGGAACTTTTGTTTGGCATTTCTCCAAATTGGTGCAGTAAAAATGCTTGATATTAAGTATGTTTTTTATTCATCAGGGGTGCATGAAACACTTTAATGTAACATATTTTATTTTAAATGTTGGTTCGAATTATAGCTTACTGTTCTTAATACCTTTATTTTGAAAACCAGAAGTGAATACACTGTAAATTTAAGTGTGGCTGATTTGACCACGGAGATCGGAGTAACGGCTGGCTTGACCGCAGTTATCATATCACAGTCGTTATCTCGAGATCTCAAATTAATTAACTCGTTATCACAGGAAAACAGAGGAAATAAAATGTATGAATACATGGCCCTTTAGGGCTTCCGTAGAAAAAGGCTGATTGCGGCCTCTTTTATGTTCATTACACTACATTTATATACCTGCTCTCAAAGCTTTCTAAAGTATTCTATTCCATCATTATTGCATACTAACTACACGTGGGTTTCCTGGCATCCTTTTGTCTGTATGACAGGTTTATTCATGCAGTAATAAATGATAGCTATGGCCAACCACACTGTGGTTGTAATGTGACTGTGCATCAACAGTGCACTTAACAGCAGTAACACATCTGTGATGTCAGAAAGTTCCCCAT